TATATCAAACTGTTTAAGAATTATTGTAAATTTCATAGTAAACAATTTTATTTACTACACTCAATTAAGTACATATTAATTAAGTATATCTCATAAAACTGTGCAGCTTTGTAGCAACAACACTCAGAACCTTGCACCGTACCAACGATACAAGACACATTTGTTGATGAATTGTAACAATTCAATATTAGAAGGGTCGAAGTCTACCCAAAACAAAACAAATTGGCACATGGTCTACGAGACAAAAATGTTCGGGGACCTCTGCTCTAATTCTTATGAAGGTATGAAGTTTACGTTTTTCAATAAATTTATAGCAGTTTTTTCATTCAGAATAAGGCATAAAAACATGTTTATTTATGTTTATTTCCTAAACTTCACATGCCTGTTGAATATACAGAAAATCGCGTACGGTACTATAAACATATTAATCATACCCCACAAAATCTCGACAAAACAGAAAAGGTACATTCCATGATCTTTCACTGCGAAAAATTAAAGGAATCCTTGTATGTATTTCAACATTTTAGTCTAGAAGACTTTTCTAGTTCTATCATTGTCTTACTAAAGATGCGATTTCTTGTCTATAAAAAGCCAGCCTTAAATCACTTTATTTAATCTCAAAAATCTTTAATAGATCCATGTAGACGGAATATTAGAACACCATATATAATCCGCCTATTTAAAAATCTTGAGTTATTGTGTCCCCATAGAGCGACGTAAAGCCTTTTATTAATATACCTCTTAATAAAAGGTACCTATTGTGCCATACGTTGCTAGTTGTACTGAGAAAGCCCATAAAATGTACCGTTTGATAATTTACTGTACACTTTAAATTGAAAAGGCATTACCAGTGTACATAAAACCAATCGTAAATCATGTCCCGACAAAAGATCCAGAAAAGGACATAATAACTATACTACATACAAGCTTGATAACATATAAATAACTATTTAGTTATTGTATATTGTTTCAGACAATAAACGAACCACATACAAAGGAAAGTGGCAGAAGAATCCCAAAGTTGTAAGGTTTATTTACACAATAACCCATATTGTCTACGATTATTTAATACTTGAATCGTATCTTGCGCCATTGAATGCAGCTGAACACAGACTACAAGATATCTCAATATTGCTTGCACATGGAAGCTTAATTAGGGTTCTCTATTTCGTAAAAGACAAACACTTGGAGAAACATAATACGAAAAATTAGAAAATTAGCAAGAAATAATCAAGGCGATCATCAGAAATAATAATTACGCATACGCCAAATACAGTTCTCAATAATAATTTATGCCTGGGCGGAAGAACTACTACAGATGGTTCAGAATGGTTCCGAATCAGGTTCGAATAAAACCAAAACAAACATCTGCAAAATTCTGTACCGTTCATAGAAAATTCGAACGTGTATTTCAGACTGCGCATCGTTCGGAATTGAACTTATATGGAATACAGAATAAAGCTGGAAATGCAGCAATCATCCACATCTATCCAATATCCGATGTTGCTTGGCATATTTAAATAGCATTACAGATGTCTTGACATTGCAACCGAAGTCATTGCATTTACAAAAATGAAGAAAATAGCTGCGCCCTTAAGCAAATGCATACTATTTCTTTGCGGGTGACTTAATGATTTGTGTTCTTATTTTACAACATGGATAAAGTATTTTACTCTCCACCATCAATCTATTTTCGATACAAAAAACTTATATATTTCATAGCAACAGGGAAATAATTCTTAGTGGAATTCAAAAATTTGTAATGGAATGGTTAGAAAACTGCTGATTATTATCAAGAGCACAAAGTTGAATAAAATATATAATTAATTTAATTTTAATTAATTTTCATTAAAAAATATTCATTTTTAACATCCCTCAACATTTTTCGTTTCTATTGTTAAATTCATCAAATTTTGATGATAATTAAATCAGGTTTGAATAAAAATGTATTTATTTTCCTAAAATTTATAAAAACTAAGAATCTGAAAATACAGCTTCTATTCCTCTTATCCTTTTTAATTTCGGACTTAAAAAATGATATAGACCCAAAGTTGGAGGAAATCTCCTTAAGAATTTAAAATTTTGTAGATACAAGGCAAACACATATTTTTTTTTGACAGAATACTGTTTATATTATTATGTATTTGGAAAGAACGCTTAAATTACAGTGACATCCGGTTTGATAGGTATACATCCATATTCCTAAAGAATAAAACGTATTCTTTAATTTGTTCGATGATTTTTACTATCTATACAGGGAGTATCTTAAGTGATGACTTTAATTTCAAGGGGTGATTCCTTGTCATATTTTAAGCAAAAAAGTGCATATGAACATCGGTTCGCAAGTGCTTCGTTACCGAGATACAGGGTGTCAAAGTTGGGAAAATAAATCGCATTTTCTTAAATATCTTTCGACTGATTCGAAATAATTTAATGAAATTTCATACACGGGGGTTTTTTGGAATGACAAATTCAAAGCTGTGGTCAATTTAGGTGTATTTTTTTGAGGGCGCCACCGGCAACGATTTCGGCCTCTTTAATCCATCGCAACTTTTTTCTGCTACCCTGTATGCCATTTTGGACTAGAATAATCGATTCTCCTACCTTATCTGCTTAAAAAAGATTTTAAAGAAATGTTTTTTTGTTGAATACAAAAATTCCTGTGATAACAAAATTCCGATGATATTTGGCATTAAAAGTGACAAGATACTGTCAGTTGACTATCTTTTAGTGTGCAGTTAACTATGAATAACGTTGAACAAGCTCAAATACATTTCATTTATGGGCTAGCAGATGGAAATGCTGCACAAGCCCGTCGAATTTACCAGGAACGATTTCCCAATAGACCACTTCCATCAGAAAGAACTTTCATAAGGCTCCATGCTAGACTGTGCGAAACTGGATCTTTAAATGCTCACGCTGAACGTATTGGTAGACCGAGAACAATAATGACACCACAACTAGAAGAAGCAATCCTACAAGAAGTGGAAGCTAATCCGTCAAGTAGTACGCGAAGATTATCTGAACAGTTTAACATAAGTCATCAAAGTGTTTGGAGGGTTTTGCACACAAATTTACTTTATCCGTACCACATTCAACGCGTGCAACCACTGTTGCCAAGAGATTTTCCTGCACGGTTAGATTATTGTCGATGGTTTCTCCAAAAAACTGCGCAGAATCCCAACTTTACGTCTAAAATTCTGTTCACAGATGAGGCAACTTTTTCACGGGATGCCATCATAAACTTCCACAATAATCATTTTTGGAACTATGAAAATCCCCATGTTATTGGAGAACGTGGATTTCAGCAGCAGTTTTCGGTGAATGTGTGGGCCGGAGTTATTGGTGATCATGTCATCGGACCGCATTTTCTTCCTCCTCGACTGAATGGTGAGACTTACAGACAGTTTCTAGCTGAAACATTGCCTGGTCTGTTAGAAGATGTACTACTAGCAACCAGAAATGACATGTGGTTTATGCACGACGGGGCACCTGCTCATTTCAGTCTTGCTGCTCGCCAACATCTTAATGACACTTTTGCTCAGCGATGGATAGGTCGGGGAGGACCTCAGCCGTGGCCAGCACGATCTCCAGACCTAAATCCTCTGGACTATTTCTTTTGGGGACATCTGAAGTCGCTTGTTTATGCAACGCCAGTTGTAGATGAAAATGATTTAAGAAACAGAATTGTAAATTCTTGTAATGTCATACGCAACACTCCAGGAATTTTGGAACGTGTGCGACAGTCGATGAGCAGAAGATTACATGCTTGTATTGACAGTGGCGGTTCTCATTTTGAGCATTTGATTTAATTCAATTTTTATGATATTTCCAGCTCAAGTAAGTTTAAATGCGTTTTTCATGGAAACGGTTGCTCCTAGCTACTTCATTATTGGCGCCCTCAAAAAAATACACCTAAATTGACCACAGCTTTGAATTTGTCATTCCAAAAAACCCCCGTGTATGAAATTTCATTAAATTATTTCGAATCAGTCGAAAGATATTTAAGAAAATGCGATTTATTTTCCCAACTTTGACACCCTGTATCTCGGTAACGAAGCACTTGCGGACCGATGTTCATATGCACTTTTTTGCTTAAAATATGACAAGGAATCACCCCTTGAAATTAAAGTCATCACTTAAGATACACCCTGTATAATATCAACATAAGTTATTTTATTAAAATTAAAAATGGTGACAGACAACATCTCAAAATTAACAATAAAATAAAAATATATTTAGTAGTATTTAAAACTTTCCGGAAAAAACATAAAATGTATTATTTAATTTTTACGTCAAAAGATACATTATTAATAATCATTTCAGCTAAATCTTATTTTTAAGTTTTTGAAAAAATATTGAAATTCTTTCCAGATTTTGTTTCTTTCTGACAGATTGTGGAAAATCAACTTATTTTGACCCTGGCACTGGCCGGCGCGAGTGTAAACACTTTGCTCTCTACGCTCAATAATTTCTGGTCTGATTATTTCCATTTCAGCTCGAATTCTCAGGTGTAAGTCTGTTAAATTGTTAAGTCGATTGAACTATACCGTAGATTTGAAATAACCCCAAAGAGGAAAAGTCAAGTTAGGGGAACGCGGGGACCACTCAAGAGATTATGGAACCCATCATCATGGAATGGATCATGGAATCATGAAAAGAACCCTAATTTTTATTGCTAAACTTGCAAACTTTTTTCGTTTTCTTTTTTTTCGTTAATTATTTGCACTTGTTTCGTTTCCAAGTACCTACAATTTCTTTTATGAAAAATTACATTAACAAATTTATTGGCCGTCCAGCTTTTCTAAGTCACCCTGTAAACAACTGAATCATCTTAAAAAATACCCCTCCCGAGAACAAAATCGATCTATCTCGGTGTTTTTTTAAAAATCACTCAGCATAAAATTTATGAACCATCAAGCTGTGAGGTGAATCATATTAATCATTACTATTTTTATTTGTTAACAATTTTATTGAAACTTCTACAAGTAACTTTGAATCTATTTTTCATTTATTTTATCAATTTGCTGTTTGATAGCTAATCGCGATTTGTTAGTGATTTGTTCATATCCAGGAGCTACTTCTTTCACTTTGGTATACCATCTAACAATATTTTTGTAGGGAGTTAAGTCATAACCCAAAAAATCACTAGTTGAAACAGTGGCTACCAGTGTCAAATCAGCAAGAGTGAGTTTGTTACCAGCAGCATGTTCAGAATTGGATAACATAGTATCGAACAATTTGAAAGCCTCGTTCAGTTTTACAAACTTTTCTGGATCGTAACCAAATCCAAAGGCAACATGAAGCTGAAAAACATTGCTAGTTGTTATTTCGTTTATTTGAATTTTATGTTTCTCTTTAGAAGATATGTATTATGTTAAATGCTTGTGTCAGTAAGGTTATTAGTTCTTAATTGGGGTGAAGAAACTTACAAGATAATAATACAGTCTATCGTATAAAGTACTAATATCAAAATACATCATAAAATCTACAATAGCACGTTCCTTAGGATCTGTAGGATATAGACTTGCATCCGTTCCATACTGATTCTGCAAATATTGCATGATTGCTCTACTCTCCCAAAGAACAAAACCAGTATCATCTATAGTAGGTACTGTATTTTGAGGATTGATCTGGAACAAAATTCGTTTGGTGATTCTGCTCTTTTTTCTTCAGAAATGTTTTATATGTTACTCTGTTCTTTTACTTTACTTTTAATTAATATTTATTCTTAGTTTGCTGACTTCCGAGGCAGTTATCAAACCAATTTCAAAGCTGGTTGCCGCGTCAGTGGTTTAGACTTTTTTACGTTTTGAGAGCCATAGGTATAGCTCACTTTTTCAGAAGACACTGTGAAATTGAGCCCAGTTTAAATCGATGACGTGACAATAAGCTTGGAAATTGTTGATATATAATTTTATATTGAAGTGATGTCTACGGTATGAAGTAACTTAAAATTTTAGCACTTAAAAAATACTTTGTGTTTCAACAATAACAGATGAAACATTTATTTATTAAATAGACGATAAAATATTTCCTCGATGAGTGAATAAATTTCATTTCGTTGTGTTTAATATTCTATTTATTCTATAAACAGCAAGTTTTAAATGAAGAACATTAAAAACATGTGTCAAGTCGAAATGTGAAAATATTAATTGTATGACTAAAGTTCATATTAATTCAAATGAAAATGGAAATTAAATAAAAGTATGAATAAGTAACAATAAAAACTATACTATTACCTGCTTTATCTTCCCTTTCAGTTAAAATGCTACTTGATCTGTTGATTTGAGTTGTATACACTTTAGAATTTGCTATAGAAAAATGTAAATTGAAATTGAATTATAAAAAAATTACTTATCTTATTCCATAGACTCGTACAATAATGGAATAAATTTCAGTGTTATTACACTTATCCTATTCTTACATAATATATGTATTGATTTCTTGCACTTGGTATTTTTGTTCTGTCCATTTGTTTGTTTTAATTATTACTGTGTTTACTTATTTCGCGTAAATAATATGTATCCAATAATAATGTCACTTCTTCCAATGTTTCACTGTAACTCCTATTTAAATAGGTATACTTATTTAGCAAAATGATATGATAACAATAAATACTACCATAAAATGATATTCTTTTACATATTAAATACTTACTTGTTACATATCGTTACTTATCTCCTTCATGCACATAGGTTAATTCTTATGAAATTTATTTAAGACTTATTAAAAGAGGTATATAATTATAATTACTTACTTTAAGTAAATGTTCCTTATTTTCTTCTTTAAGTTTTAGATTCAAATTTATTCCAACAGCTTTGGCAGTTAAAAGAACTGCTGTACAGGGAGGGCTTCCAATAATATAATAAAAATCAATAGGCATATTTAATTACAAATCTTTCAGGTATAGAAAATACAAGTTCATTGGACAACAGAAAGTTGGCGACTGGAGACTCTTAAAAAGACAATACCACCTGTACGGTTTTAATCTTTTTTTATTCATTTATTTTTCTCTAATTATTTTGAACGAATACTGTTTATAATGAGTTGTTTAATAATTACCATTTATAACAAGGGCGTTTTGTTACTACACACTATTTCTCAATTTTACAATTTTACAATGTCATTGACTTTGTTGCTCGTGAAACTGAATAAGAAGCATTCAATGAGATAAAACTAATTACAGAGCAAGGAAAAAATTACGAAAAAATTTTTATAACACAACAACAATGTTGTGTATTAAACTATAATCGTGATACGTTTTAAACAATAGTTGTGGAAATACGATGCAATAATGGGGTAGATATATGTTACAGCATAGTTTACACCATCAGTCATAAGTCATAACAACGTTTCATTCAAAAACAAATACATTATTATTTCAAATTAATAAGAAATTAAAAAGTATAATGAACATTAAAGCTTTGTAATTTATATCTTAAGAAAGTCAATCAGCTGTTTGGACTGTAATGTATTGTAGATAGCTACTTATTTCCTCGCACTCTGGAGCTACTTCCTTTATTTTAGCATACCATCTGACAGGTCAATTTGTAGCTTTACGTCGATACTGATACTGCCAAAGACAGATCGGCAAGGGTAACTTTGTCAGTAGCAACATATTCATGGGACCAACGAATTACATCCCACAGACGCCTGTTGTTATCCTTAAATGGTCATTAGGATATCAACGTGTCGCCTTTCTCTACATCCCAAAATGTCCTTGGTATAACTTTTTCAGAAGTTTATAGTGTTATCTAGGAGGGTAACCTCAAAACTAAGCTCCACTAGTGTTTTAGAAAAAAAAGTTTATTTTAAATCATCTTAAAGCCTGGATATTCCTCTACTTTCCAACATAATGGACATTTCGGTCGATTTAATTTTTTAGATGCTGGGGAAGTTTTTGTATACACATGTCATACCATCTCGCCGTCATGTCACTAAGGAAGGGTTGGACCGATTCCTTCACCTCGCCATTGTCTGAAGCGCCTTCCGGTCGAATGTTCTTTCAACTTAGGAAATAAGTAGTAGTACAGGGTGGGTTGGTGATGATGTCCTATTTAAAACAATTGGAGGAAAGCGACGCTCGTACGGGCAACATGAGAGTGAGCATTGTCGAGAAGAACGCATATGCACTTACTCAATATTCCTCCTCATCGGTTCCGAATCGTCTTTTTTTAAGTGTCTCACAATACCTACCAGCAGTCATGAAGTCGGCCAACCTTCTGATCCTTAAACATATGCATTTACCATAACTTTGCCGGCAGACTGTGTCTGTTTAAATTTTCACGACTTGGGTAAAGAGGAATGCCCCTCACGTGAATGCTGCTTGGTCTCAGGTGTGAAGTGGAGGACTCAGGTTTCGTCACCCGTGACAATCCAATCCAAAAAGTTATCCTATTTTTCAGCATAGAGCCAAAGAAATTCGTGCTGGTGGCCCCTTTAAAGCATTCGCAGGACACATTAAAATATTTCAACTTCTCAATCCAAGTCCTACCTACAAAGGTATTCACATTAGAGAGATATGATTTAAAATTTTGTTGTGACACCTTTTATAGTAGGTTTTGTAGAATATTTAAGCTTTCCTGACAGTTATTCACTAGAACTTGCAAGAATCCTTTTCGTTTCTTCCGTACTTAATTTCCATAACAACTCGTAACACTCTTACTTTGCCCTTTTACACTTGTTGTCTTTATTCATAGTGGATATGAATAATGCGATATATACCCTAATACCATAACTTTTTTCAACCTCACCAGGGAATTTATGTATATATCCTATGTAGATAATGCTTGCCTCCTCACGATTAGCTATTAAATTTTAGGTATCTTTTGATGGGCAATATATAATTGGGGAGATTTGATACAACTTAGACAATATTTTTTGAATAAATATAAATGTGGAGCAAGAATTTTGAAGATCTAAAATTCCCATACCACATAAAAGCAAGAGTGGATCGAAATATATATTTTTTCATTTTAGTAACGCCAAATCGTTATTTCATAGCTACTCCCACACTGCTTAAGAAACAACAACTGCCATTCTAGTGTATGTTATGTCACTACCACTAAAATACACATGGAGTTTCTATATCAGATAAAAAGTGTCATCAAGAACTGCTTTTGTAATTGACCAAATGGTAACACAATTATAAATTTTATTTTAAGGGCCTGGTTTTCCTGTAGGTACCAAATAAATATGTAATTTTCAATTTTTGCAATTACTTCTGCATGTTTTCATTTCCTTTAATATATTAACCAATGATCTTAACTTTTTCTGTTTTATAGACTTTTACCAAAAATGTAATCCAAAGATATTTATAAAGTGTCTTATACAGGACATTATAATAATATCATTAGATTCTGAATATATTAAAGAACAGCTGTATCAGAAAATTACACCACCTTCACGAGACGCCACTGGTTACCAGATCTATATCTATTCATGACAGATCCGGAGATATGTCCCGTTTGTATAATTGATGCCTAAAAAAAAGGTCCCAGGATATTATATCTAGAAAACAAATTGTATTCGAAGAAATCGACGTAATCAAGAAATATCTACCTTTGTGACACATGACATACTTGGAGCAAATGAAAAAAAAAACGGAGATCGCACTCCCTTGAACTTTAACTCTGATTTTAATTTTTCAATTGCCCCCCTTGCCCCCCCCTCAATCCCGCCTATGATATAGCCCAATGATATTTTATGGATATCATATATCGATTATCTTGATATCCATTGCAGACTTGGATATTAATATGTTGTGTTATCTAGAACTTTTATTTTTAAAATGTTTCAAAGAACCAGCACGTGAAATATTTATTTGTTTCCGAAGTACCTATGTTCTCTACATTTTCTACGTTTTACCTAAAAACGAGGCAATCGTACAGGTTTTTACATTGCAAAGGAGGCCAAGTGGTTTTATCAAAGATTTCCAGGATATAATCTGATATCAGGAGGTCTGTTGCTTTTAAAAATTACTGGTGCAGTTTTAAATTCAACACTGATCAAGTGGCAGCATTGTAAACTAGTTAGATAATACAAGATTATTAAGTTATTAGGCTCCTAAAATGTGTCTGTCTATTTATATAAAACCTCTGGAGTCATCGTGCAAAGAATTTAAAATTTGAACAATATGACGCAACTCGCTAGCATTATACTTGTACATATCTGCTTACGGTAGGGATGATGTCAGTTCAAACACTTATTCACAACATAAATACACCTGCCATATAAACGAAATTTTTTATTCATGTATGAAATTTAAAATTATAGTTTAGGTGTTATTTAACTTAAGAGCAAATTAAATAGCTGTAGGAAGCAGGTGAAATAACAGATTTCCTAAGTTAATACTTTCATAACCTGTAAAAGAACATTTATTTTAAATGCGCCCGTGGTTCATAAATATATTTTTAGTAGGGCATGTTCGAAATATTTGATAAAGCAAATTTGTAAATTTTTATTCAAAAATAGTAAGTTCTGTGAACTCGTAATTAAAAATATATAATGGTCGCAATATATTCATACAAAATAACAAAGCGCTAAAAAACAGTAAATTATAAAATTGTGAGAAATTATTTCTTGAGTAACTGTTCAACCAGTTGTTTGAAAATCAGTACATTTTTGCCATTAGCTTCCTCATATCCAGGTGCCGTTTCCTTCACCTTGCCATACCATCTATTTACATTTTTGTAAGGGGACAAATCAAAACCGGTAACTTCACAAGTCGACACACTCGCTACTAATGACAGATCTGCAAGAGTAAGTGTATCACCAGCAGCATATTCTGAGTTGGCTAGGAAGCCGTCTAAGAACTTGAATGCTTCATTCAGTTTTTCAAGTTTTTCAGGATCAAAGCTAGCTCCACCAAAAGCAACAGGATACTAAAAATTAAAAAACAAATGTAAATAAGGTCAGATCAAAACTGTTATTAAAATAAGATAAATAATAGACTATCCTTATAATCTAAACAAATAATAATAGGTTATTTATTTATGCAACATTTTACTGTTTATAGATATGTAGCCTTAAAATGAGTTGTGGTATTTTTATAGGCAAATAAATTAAAATGATCCTGCAAATAACATTGAACTTAAAAAAATAAAATATCAAAACAGATATAGAGTGAAATAGCTTTAAATTTATTGGGTCAAACAATTTATTTCATGAATAAAAACGGATGTATGACCTTTGAAAGAAGTTATCGATTGAATGATTTATAAAAACATAAAAAATACATCTAATTCAGGCCAAGGAAATTACAAGAGAAACGTTGCATGTTGCTTATAATACTAATAATTAATGTTTTATTGGCTTCGACGACAAGTAGGTACTTATTTGAGAAAGAAAATTAAAAGAAATTACATTAATTATAAAAACAAACAAAATAAACCCTGTTTCATGTTTTTTTCCGTAATATCCGTAAGTTAAATTTATATGGCCTGTAAGAAAAGCATGGAATAAATTTATTACTTCTGAAATAATAAAGTTTTCTAACATTCGGGACGTCGATTTTGCGTTTTAAAAGGACTTAATTTTTGTTATTTACTATCCTTAGTTAAACTGAAATAACTACTGAAAATATGGAACAACGCAAGACAAGTTTGTTTCTGCAAATTATTTAAAAAATAAAGAACATAACGTTGTGACAAATCCAAAAAAAAAAAACAAATGAAGCAATTCACATATTTCTGCAAATCACAATTTTTGTTGCCCAAAAATTATCAATGACGACATCACGATAAACAATGGAAAGGGAAGAATGTGCCATGAGACCTAATCGTTTCGGAAATAATTAATTTATTTGATATTTTTCCTCCATATTGTATGACAAAATGTGATATGAAAAAAGAGGAATAAATAAAATTATTAGAATTTTTTAATCGTAAATATCTTCATTTCTAAAAACTTCAACGTAACCTTGTTGCTAAATTAAGAACTAAGGTGTTTGGGTAGTTAAGTAGTTTCTAGGACGATTTCTACGAGCCTGTTAGGTGATAAAGCATTGTTACTTACAAAATAATCGCCAAATCTGGCATATAGAGTTCCCAAGTCAAAGTACAATCGCTGATCGACAATGGCGCGTTTCTTGGGATCTGTGGGATAGAGACTGTCGTTCTTTCCATATTGATTCTGTAAATACTGCATGATAGCTCTGCTTTCCCAAAGGGCAAAACCATTGTCATCGATTGTAGGTACTGTATGTTGAGGATTGATCTGGAAAAAAGAAATTCTTTTGATCTCTGTAAAAATGGCAAAAATATTTTTGCTATTTTTACAGAAACCAAAAGATAGACTTGCAAATACCTACAAATCATATTAGTTTTACAAAATTGTATCATTGTACAATTGTTGTGGCTTACAAAAACTCAAATCAGTCAGTGATACATGTCTTATTTACTTTTTTTGGACATACATTATTTAAAATATTATAAACATTTAATCATTTAGTACACGTTTATACGTAACAATATTATTCAGAAGTAAAATAAATACAGTATACCGAAATCATAATGATGTGATTTATTTTTTACTAAAGATGTGATCATAATGCCAACTAAATCATTAAGTAGGTAACCATCCAGTGAAGTACACAGATTTTTCTCTTGAAAAGGGTTGAAACTGTTTAAGATGCAGAGTGCCACAAATTACAAGAAAGGCGCATCTTTGCTTAGACTATTCTTGAAATCAAACCTGAAAGTTTCAACAAGTTCATGAAGTATAACGAAAAACTGGAAAATTATTGGATTTGTTTATAAAGGTAATTTCTGTTCCTAGACATAAAATACCCTACTTATTACAGAACGATATTTCACTGTTTTAAGTTAAAAAAGTTATTTCGGTGATATGTCAAATGAAGGAAAAAAATACTAATTCGATATATCGAATTAATGTTTAAATGTAATCATGAGATCGTTGAACATGAAATTTCATCAAATTTCATCAACGTACTTATATTTCTTAATGGTAAAAGACCAAATTGCAAAATTATTGTCTACATGTTTCTACTAAATGATATATTTTTGTTTGTAATGGTGATAATGAAGACCCCATTGTCATTCCGAAATCTTGTTATTAACATTAACATTGAAAACATACAGTTTGTATACATAAACTTGGGAATTCCATTGTACATCCTAGTTTATCTGTCACACTGCTATTATTTCAAGTTTTTTATCTACCAGTACATTAGTAAACAGACCAACTACATCAAAACTCATCTTTAAATGACTAGTATTAAAATTATTTAAATAAAGTTTTCCATTTTTAATGTATGAAACAGAATATCCAATATTTGATAATAATAATTTATGGAACTAACTATTGAGAAATTAAATATTTTTCTAGATAATATTAATAACAAGGAATTATTGAATTGAATTGACTATAGAAACAGCAAACAATATTACATTACCCTTTCTAGATATTTTAACAAAAGTGGCAATTCCGAGGGCAATTCTTTAGAAGCAAGTGTTTATAGAAGGCCAACTCACCTTAACAGATATCTAATTTTTATTAGAATTATCATATTGATATAAAAAAACTGTAATTAAATGTTTGTACGATAGAGCCAAATTTATTTCTCGAAAAATAAAATTTTTATTAATGTAAAGTTCACAAAAAATGTGCTAATAAACCATCAATACTCTTAAAATTTTGTTGAAAAAGTTGTCAAGAACATTAAAAATAAAAAAAATTGTCAGACAACAAAAGGAAATTACACCCACAATAAAAATTCCATATATTCCTGTATTATCGAAAAAATTAAGGTGAATAGGCAACAAATGTAACATGAGAACAGTTTTTCAGACGATTTATACTTGTTTTGTCAAAGACGCACCCAAATGATTAGCAAAATTCAAAAAATTGCATTTTTGGCATTTCTACCACGAGTTAGTTTTTCACACAAGTAGTAAGGTTGCCCCCGAGTGGTAATCTTATAAATTAATGTTACCAAATGGACAATAAATATCTCCTCCAATTTTACCCACTTAGATAAAACAAAAGGTGGCGTCGCATGATCCAACTTTCGAGTATTAGGTATAGTAAAATTTTAGACAAGAATTTTTTAATTTCCGTAGATTACTTTTATCCTTCATTGTAAGTGCTGGTCAATACAAACTGTCGCAGTAAGCTAAGGACGAGAGAATTAATGTATCAGTAAATTTCAGTTTAATTTCAATTGAAAGGCAATCTTTGTGCATGTCATGTAAAGCATTTTTAACTTAAAAAATAGCAACACTTTTGCAACAAATGTAACACATGCACTTCATACCTAAGATTAGTATCAACATATTATACTCCTAGATTTTTATAGATGTGGAAGGAATTAGGTCAACTCTACTTCTTCATTGCCCAATCTTGTCAACGGCGATTTAGTTTCATTCAAAACAAATGACAAATTTCCAAACTTTAGCACTTTTTTATAGATATTTGTCGATATTATTTGCCGCCGCAAGCATGTTAGCAATGACTAGGGAAAAAGAATTTAAAATATATATAATCACAAAATAAAATATATCAGTGTGTAATGAGTGTTGATTTATGATACAGTCCAAAATAATATTAGAATCTGCTCTCAATCAAAAATAATTTAATAGTTTATTTTTAAATATTTTGTTACATGTGACACTTTTAATAATATTCGCATATTATTTGGGACTATTTACATTTTATATTTGATAAAAATCACTGGATCATCTTACATAGTTATATTAAAATGTGGCAAATGTATATCCAAAGCCTTCATAAATGATTACAAGCCACGTCACCAGTAATGTTTGGAATAGTAGGTAATTTTACTTCCTTCACATTGACAATTAAATTAAGGTAAAATTAAAATAATAAGATCAAGATTACATTAAAACACAATATTTTGTTCCGTCGGCTGTGATTGGTATAATTTTTCACGAGGTTCTATTCAATCAATCAGCGATCGCAATATCTCGAGCGTAGCCGAAATGATTTATTACTGTTCATTGTAAACCGAAGTGTAAACGAATGATTAATATTGATGATGCCAATATTTAGGAATTTTTCGTTACCGGTACCAGTCGTGCAACGTTGTGTTGAATAAGCTCGGCAGTCACCTGGCTTGTAAACATTTATGAAGGCTCTGTACTTGATAACATTAAAATCAGTAATGTTTTAAAAATTCGTCTATATGTCTGGATATTCCCAACATATTTCGAGTAACCGTCTTTTTGAACCAAACGCTGCGCTGGATAAGAATTCTGCTTAATAAAAAGATTTTTATTTGCTATATTAATTAATCTGTTCTTGTCACGAACTTAATTTCAGGAATTAGTTGTTATATTTCCTCAAGAAACGTTTTGGCAGAATATTATACAACTGTATTATAGTTTCTTGTCTGTTTTCCCTCTTACGTACGCAACTGCAATCATCACATCTATTACTCATTTCAAATTAGTTATATTTTATGTCAAGTCATAAATATTTTGAACTGGGTCAATTTACTCGTTTCACTATTAAGTCATTCGCGTTTGTCATTGGAGCGTAACTAGAATGGTTTTATACTTAAATTATATGTTATACAAATTCCAATACCAATACTGTGTGTTAAAATAACAAACGTAAATATTTATTTGTTCGCCGACCGTCTACTTACTTTAATGAATTCTGGTGTAAGATGTTCTCCTTTAAATAGATCAGTCGGTTTGAGGTTCAATTCTACTCCAACTGCCTTAGCAGCCAAAAGGACGGCTCTGCAAGGAGCACTTCCTGGAGCATAGTAGAAGTCGACAGGCATTTTTACTGCAAAAAAAATATATAATCCGTGACAAAAGAGTAACAAGAAAAAGAAAATCAGAATGAATTATTTGTCACTATATAATAAACCCGAAACCATGGTAGTTAAATTATTTGTATCTAGATGAATCAGTAAATAAAGGATTACCAATTTAAGTGACAAACAAGATAAGTCTAAATACCTAACAGTTGTTTGCTGATTTGGTGATATCTACGTTTAGATAGGTACAGTTTTCAAATAATTTAGGTATGAGCGTACTAGGTACTACTATAATTCCAGTGGACTGAATTATCTTTCAAAAAAGTTTATCACACACGTTCTACACAGAACAATGAAAAAATGTGTACAATGTGCCCATACCACAAGTATAATATAACAAATTACGTCTGAGAGCAAAAGACAACATAACATTAAGGTTGCCCTACCCAGTAAACATCATAACCACTTCACTGTCAGAATTTGACCATTACACAATCAGACAAAAATCGACTTTCGGGCCCAGAGGTCAGACCATGCATATTATACGTTTTTTGGGTTTCTGAATCCGAATCCGAGATCCAATTAACCCCATCATCTGAAGATTTTTCGTAACCTCAAAACACCGATATTCTGAACAATTAAACCATATAGCTTTAAGACTCAAGCTTCCAACGCTAAATCCAATTAACCAAATCCCATAAACATTTAACCCAATGATATTCCAACATAATAATAAGCCCATGAACCAAAACCCCAATAACCCTATTACCACATAACCCCACAACCAAGTGAATAAGTCATACGCAAACTGTATTATTGCAAAACATCACATAGCTGAGGACTCGTTGAAAACACAAGTACTCAAACACAAAAAATTCCCATAACCCTATAACCTCATAACCCCGTAATTTCATAACCCTATAACCCCATAACTGATAAATCATAGGCAATCTGTATTATGGCTAAACGTTAATGTAGTTGAGGATATCATGAAAACCTATGCACTCAAACTCCAAAACCCCCATGAACCTACAATTCATAACCCCACGATTCCCTAACCACAACTTCATTACTTTGTACTTTGATCCCATTCACTAAAGAACCGAGTGTTGCAGTGGATCTAGTTTTTTAATAACTTTAATTGGTAGGACGGTCGACATGAGCATTAGCAGATGTACAACGCGAGGTGGTTGCGCGATCGTATTTCGTACATCATATAGGTCTCATGAGAGCTTTTGAAAAAAAATAATAATAACTTGTAGGATAGACTGTACTATAAATTAATCAATAAAACTAAAATAAATAAATGATTAATGTTAAGGATCTCTCTTGACTAGATTAAATAAAATGGAAATCCGAAGGATAACAATAGATAACCCAAAAATTATATTATTAGAATGACTAGATCAAAAGACCGGACATGTGAAATGACTAGTATGGGTTTTCAAGGAGTCCTCAGCTATGTGATGTTTTGCAATAATACAGATTGCCTATTTGGATGATTATTTATTCCCCTGGTGGTTATGGGGTTATAGGGTTATTGAGGTTTGGGTTCATGGCTAAATTGGGTTGGGATATCATTGGGTTAAATGTTTATGGGATTTGGTTAATTGGATTTAGTGTTGGAAGCTTGTGTCTTATTTAATTGTTCAGAACATCGTTTTTTTTTTTGAGGTTATGAAAAATCCCGAGGTGATGAGGTTAAATGGACCTCGGATGTGGATTCAGCGACCCAAAAAACGTATAATAAACATGGTCTGACCTCTGGGCCCGAAAGTCGATTTTTGTGTGTGGCTGTGTTATTAATGTTTTATTTACGAAAAATAAAAAATAAAAATATTTCTTTTTCAGGTAGTGTCTAATTCGTAAACATAGGGATTTTTGAATGTTTCTTGTTTTGCAAAGATGTAATATATTGATATAGATATATGATTTCTACCGAGGTGATTACAGGAAGAAGGAAATTCTGCGGACATAATTTTATCTACATTTTTCATACTTATCAACGAAATTCTCAAACTGTAAATTGAGCGGATGCAACCTGATAAGATAACAGAATGCGACTAGATAAAAAATTACCAATTATAGATATATAATATAAATGAACGGAATATAATACGAATATAAATAATATAGTATACAGGGATGGCCAGAAGTACGAAATAAAATTCATATCTTTTGAATGAGTCAATTTTTTTTAAAACGCCGAAACACGTTAACTGATTTTGATTTTTTCCCATCTTTCGGTTATATAATAATTAATTTTTCTTCAACCCCCCAACCCCCAACCCCCAGCTACCCCTACTTTTTTTTTAAATGGAAACATAAGGCATGAGGGGGCTCGTTGAAAAGCTTATAGAAAACCGAATCCAGCCATACCAAATAAACAAGTTTTATTTTTTCAATAGCAAGGTTTTTAGGGTTGTATAAAACACCTACTTAACAAGTGAAATAAAATTTAATTATCTTCAGTGTTATCCTCCATGAATTTGCACAGAATAAAATAAAGAATTTGAAACTGTACCTATCACTGCTAACGCAAAAAAGATATATTTTTTATGTTGCGTTTTTTTGGCACCACTTACTTGCCAGGCTTTCTGGTTAATTTTTCGCTTTAGTTGTAAATTGGAGTTCGAAACGTTACTATTGTGTCAAAATCAAGTTATTTACTGAATTGCAATGGTATTGTCGGAAAGGCAACGCATCGAAATCTTGATATTGCTTGGATGTGGAGACAAAATAAGAAGTCAGGCTGAAGTGCGCGATTTATTTAATGCGAAATATCCCGAAAACCAAATCTCGCAAGGGACAGTTAGTAAAATATTTCACAAATTTGAGGAACACGGTACAGTACAGACTTTGCCCAAAACTGGACGGGCACGTGCTTTGAATGAAGAAAAGAAATTAGACATTGCATTAGAACTTGTTGAAAATCCTCATACTTCAACTGTTTCATTGGCCCGCAATCACGATGCTTCTCGAACTGCAATTCGAATGTTTCTGAAACAAGAGAAATACCACCCCTATAAGGTATGTCTTGTCCAAGAGCTTTTGGAAGACGATTATGATAGGCGATTACAATTTTGTGAGGAAATGATGAGACGGTGTGACGACAATAATGGTTTTCAACGAGACGTACTTTTTTCGGATGAAGCTACGTTTTATTTAAATGGAGTGGTTAACAGGCACAACTATCGCTTTTGGTCCCAGGAAAATCCACACTGGACATGCGAATCGCATACGCAGCATCCACAAAAAGTTAATGTATGGGCAGGTATCATCAACAACAGAATCTTGGGCCCATTCTTTTTTGAAGAAAATCTTACTGCCGCACGCTACCTGGATTTCCTAACATTTGACCTGATACCTGCTCTAGCTGTGATTTTCCCTCATGAAATTGATCCAGATATACCGAATGAAAGAATTTGGTTCCAACAAGATGGCGCTCCCCCACATTTTGGTATTGATGTTCGAAGATACTTAGATGAAATGTTTCCAAATCGCTGGATTGGTAGACGGGGTACAGTTGAATGGCCGCCAAGATCCCCCGACTTAACACCCCTGGATTATTTTCTTTGGGGATATTTGAAAGAAAGAGTCTACCAGGACAGACCGGATAATATTGAGAATTTAAAGAACAAGATTAGGGCGGAGATGCATAATTTACCAGCTGAAGTCATTCAGAATGCTGTGGACAGCTTTTACTATCGTCTTGGAGAATGCCAAATAGTGAATGGAAGACATTTTCAGCATTTGCGACATTGAGTTTATTTTTGTTAATTATCTAGTTGTTTCAATTTCTAAAAGAAAAAAACTTGTTATTGAAAAAATTAAACTTGTTTATTTGGTATGGCTGGATTCGGTTTTCTATAAGCTTTTCAACGAGCCCCCTCATGCCTTATGTTTCCATTTGAAAAAAAAGTAGGGGTAGCTGGGGGTTAGGGGTTGAAGAAAAATTAATTATTATATAACCGAAAGATGGGAAAAATTCACAATCAGTTAACGTGTTTCGGCGTTTAAAAAAAATCGTTCAAAAGATATGAATCTTATTCCGTACTTCTGGCCATCTCTGTACAATGAACTAATAAATATTCATCTTAAACTCAAGACACGGAAATATTAAATTAAATATTCAAACTGTTCTTATGAAGTTCAATAGTGATAGTTATATCAAACGTAATATTGCGGGTGAACATTTTAGCACTGAACCATATGCGGCGCATCTAGGGTATTTTAGTTATTATTAAAGAAATATGCAGTTTTCGGAAATATTGGCTACTTCTTGAGAGTAATTTTCAGGTCAAAATAGTCGATATGTTACGTTTTAGTCGAGATAAAAAAATTTAAATTAAAAATATTATGAACGACCCATGCAGAGGCACATTTAGATTTATTTTTTAAATGTTGACACTGTATATTATAGATGCTTTGTGTTGAATCCATTGGCGTATTTAATTTTTTAATAATTCTGATATTTTCAACTTGCAGACTACGGTTAATTTTTTTCAGTATGAGCCATAGTTGGCCTTGGATTAATGAAAAAGGCGTGTTCTACGCTTTTCAGAAATATACAGTTTGTCTTATATTTTGAGATCAGAAGAAAACTTTATAAAACGGTATTTAACTGAAAAAAAGAAAAAAAAAGATGTAAAAAGTATGTGAATATCATTTTGCACCACAGATCATACGTAGGTACCTATGTAACTAATAAATTTTTGTGTACAAGGTATCGACTTTTCCTTTGAAGTAAAGGATTTAGTTCTAGACAGGCGCATACTTAAAAAATTGCCGGGCTATCCATGTTTAAAAAGCAAATAACGAAATATTTTAATAATCCAAATTACGTGCTAGAACTAGAATATTTTTATAGTCCATCTTTAGCCCCATTAAATTTCGTCAATCTGCTTAGGTGTCTGATATTTTGTAGTGCAGAAAACACTTCACAACTATTCTTCTGTTTGAGAACGAATAAAAATAATTAATTATTTAATAAATTGCTACACCATTAGCACGTAGAACCTACGCCACTGTTGCGTATCCAATGTTATTCATCTGTGGTATTCACAGTTAAATTATCAAACAACCTACTTCCTCTATGCGTTTCACTTGAATGCATACACAACAAAAATATATTTTAGCATCGTTAATTACAGTAATTATCTACTAATTTTCAGAACGTACCTTTCAGTTATATAATTTTATTACAAAACACAAATTCACTGGGAATCCTATGATCACACTGTGCTACGCTCTAACTAAACCGGTTGAATGAGGAATGCCGGCCGGTGAGGTGGCACAAAATGTTTTTATAGTTCTCCTTTACAGACTCAGTCGCTCCCTCTCTACATCCGATCAGCACGGCGTACCGCGGTGTACTAAATTTTTATTAAAAGGTAAAAAAATTGGTTGACAAATGTTCAGAATGTCTTAGTAAACAAAATTTTAACCTACGAATAAAATGACATCTCTTCTTAATATGCACGGAGTGTAGCATCGATATTGCGACAAATTTTCAGGAGTTCTTCAAGTGCCAAAAAATGTTATTTGCCATAAAATAGAACATTCTTTTATAGGCTTAAACGTTTATACCGCAAACTCCAAAAACAAACAGATATAACAAGATAGAAGCGTTTTTAACAGCGAATTATAATTATAATTAAATATCAGAATAACATTTACATACATTAGCATTTATGTGATACTACAGTCAGAACGAAAAAATTGCTTTATTATTTTGGTTGTCCATATGTGCAAATGAATGATCCAATTGCAGTCATTTATAAAAAGGGTTTTTACAGAAAAATTAATTACTTTTATATTGAAATAAAATATTTTTTCGTTTTTATCTAAAATTCTTAGAAAATGTTTAAAAAATATTGAGATAGATCTAACGTTAAAGATAAGATGCGCAATAAGAGATATTTTTAAGTTTTTATTAAGCGGGTGTCACACATCACATCTGTAAATCAATTATGGTTGTGAAGAATTTTAATCAAAACAAATTACAATAATTAGATTTCTTAAAAGAATTGGAAGCTACTCTCTGTTATGGTGTTCACTTTTTTTTATTCCTTGGCAGTTGTTAGTTACAAAATGTTAATGATGTACGATATGTATAGACATAAGTAGTTGTAATCGCCTTTAGAAGTATTATCTAAATTCATTTGTTAACTACAGTTGAACCCTGTAAAATTTATAATCATCTACACATGTGTTGAAAAAATTTGAGGTGGTACAGGTAAACCTAATTCATTTTAGCTCTGAAAGTAGGATGCACAGTGGCAAAGTAGTGGAGTGAGGAATGGCAGAATACTCCTTTACTATAGGTTATCCATCTCATTTAACGGCTGTGTCTGATTTGCGCATTTCAAGGTACAAGTGAACTTTATCCAGTTGTAGTAAAAGCTGCAATGTAGAAATGTTGGTAGAAAATATATGAAATTTTGTTAGTAATGATTTAACATTTTTCTAGAACAATGGCAATAGAACAAAATATTTGACTCTGTTATAAACACATATTTTGTTCAAAAAGCTGCATCTGATTAGTTTTTAATAAAAGTTTTATATAAAGGTAGTTGCCAAGAGGAACTGGCAGTATTGAAACAGATCTTGATATGATAGGTATATTCTTATCCAACCGCTTCTTGTTTGAAAAATATTTTCGTTGAGATTAGAAGCAGGTCGTATAACATTAAGATCTTTTGATATTTGTTCACATCGAGCTCGTCAAAATTTTCGGCCGCTGACAAAAGTTACATAGTGACGTCTACAGAAACCGATTTTAGTGTTCCTGTTGTCCACCAAGATTAGTGTATATGTGCTGTTTACCAAGAAGATCACTCAAAGTTCCACGTTTATTGGTGAACAAATAACTCGTCGTATTAAACGGATGAAATTCTCGCTTGAGCTGCTTATGTTGTTCAGGATATTATCCAAACATCAGCGAAATTATCAAAAATTCTAAAGCAGATCGGAAAATGCAGTGAATTTAGAAATTATTATCGCATTCTTTTAACTTCTATATTTATTAAATTTTAAATTTCATAAAACCGAACTGAAGTTCGGCGAACATATCTTCTAAAGTTACCCTCAGTCGATGGAAATTTTGGCCAGTTGACGTGAATAAAAATAAACGACGCTAACGTTACACGAGCTGCCCGCGATTTTAACTGAAACATTTTGTAAACAGACCGTTGAATTATTCGTGAGTACCTATACAAAAAGTTTATGTAGACGTCATCGTGAGTCTGCTCGCCACGAGCTAATCTTGAGCTGAACCTGTAACTGTGTACAAATTTTCACATATAAATTATTATAACTATATTTTGTGTAATAAGGTGTTTATTTTAATAATTATATTAACCCTGCGCTACCCGTCGATTCAGGATGCTTTTGTTTAAGTTTAACGACCAACGAAAGTCTGGTCCTTATTCCTATATAGGGAATTATTAATTATGAAGATGATTTTTAAGGGGTCGGCATTTCTAACTTTGTAAATTAATCATATTGTCGAAAGATTAGCCTTGTGTATTATAGATATCTCTCGTTTTTATAAACATGTTCGCATTGTTAATATTTTTCTTGACGATTTATCCGTATTTTTTTTTATGATACTAATGAAGATAACAAGTTTATTTTACTTTCGATCACAAAATCGTTTTCCTAAAATGGAACAAATCGAAAAAAAAAGTATCATGTCATATTTATATTATACCTGTACCCTGTCGCCGTCGGTATGCTCTGTCACTGCAGTAACGACTTGTTGGTCCTCCGCTATGTTGCTAAGGTCGTTACAAGACACGCACGCATCAAACTAAATCCCATTGATGTGAACGAATATGATGGCGGCAATAAAAAATAAGGGATTATTAAACTGATTACAGGTCTTCTTAGCAGCATATAATGCCTATTTCCAGTTCGTGACCAATTAATTTTTCTTTTATTCAGTGAAAATAACTTTTGACAATTTTAAAACAATCCGATACTAATAAAATAGACTCGATTATTACTAAGTATATTATATAATATAGTATAATACTTTTATACAGTAAATCGTGAATTATTTTCAAATTAATAATAACATTAATTAAATCGTATTGAATCGTATATATTAGATGTTTGTAGTAGAAAATAGTAGGTATACATTTTGAGAATATTTACAGATTCATATTTTACTATAATATTGTGTTATTATTTTATAACTCTTTAAAGAAATATTTTAAAAAATATTGGGGTAGATCTGATTTTAATTATCGTAGGAAAAGTTTTTGTTACATATGTGGGTTAGGTTAGTTAGCTGTTAGCTGTCACATATGCAGACATGTTAAGTGTTGTCCTAGTACCCATCCCTGTAGTTGTGAATAATAGTAGAAAGCAATAATTACAATAATACGTTTGTTTGAAAAAGTGGAAGATAACAATAAGGTGCCATTTTTTTATTTGTTGGCACTTGTTAGCTATAGTCTGTTTAGATTTGAAAGAGAGTAATGAAAGCTTATTATGTATGCAAATCGTAAATAAATGTAGTACTGGTACTACAATATTTTTATATTATGTATTATCGGTATAGGATGAGGTGTACTTTTAAAAAAACTTTGTGCAATCGGACTGTACTAAATTGTAGCAGGTAGCTAAAATTTAATCCCCGACAATCCGTCTTTGTCTATGCCGCTTCAATTTCTCNGATTTTTAAGCATTTACAAAAGTATTTTAAAAATTTTCAATAGTAATGTGGTAGGAAAAAATACAATATACATTCATGGAAAATCTATGAAACTTTGATATTTTATTGTTATTTATGGTATTTAACATATATATTGTTAGAAATCGAGCGAAGACCGATAATGTGAACACTTAACCCAAGAGGCAAGGGCTAAGTAAAATAAACAAATTCCTCGGCTAGGGCAGATAAGACACATGGAACCACCATTTCGGTACTCGGCATTCAACATTCGACGGCAGACGCCCTTATTAACTAGCTGTTTTAAATGCCTTATAATCTTTTTATATTACAAATTAAAAACTTGTATTTAATATAATATATTATAATATTCGCTGATAATTAGTGTGTTTCTAACAATATCCTATAGCAAAATAGAAAGTGAATATATTTAACAAAATTGAAGTGAATTTAGGTACCTACATACATTTTAAATACAATATACAGGGTGTCCCATAAACACATGATCAAAAAGGTACTGCGACATTCTTTGGCTCAAAAGAAGACGATTTGACCTAACTTTCATTAAGAAAAAATGTCTAGTTCCTCTGCTATTGAATATCAAAGTTCTCGAAAAAAAATATGTTTTTGTAGTATCTGGAGAATATTACGATGGATTTTAATGACACTTGCTGTGGACTTGTTCCTAAGTAAAACTTCATGTTTTGATGAAGCAACCGCGTCCATCTGCCCTGGGCTAGTGGCAAATTCTTGAGTGTCTTGGTACAAGAATTACCAAAACTTTTTATTTGGTCTCTGGAATTAATTCATTTTACTTTTATTGATGCATCAGTCCTTTTTCGAGATTTTCGTGCTCTTGGTAAAATCTTGTAGCACTCATAGTTTTTATGCAAAATTTTTTTTTTCAATTTTAGACAATCATTATCACTACTACTCAAGTACTACAACTACTCACTACAACTCACTACTATCCTAGTAAGCGATGATGTCATTTTATAATAAATGAATTGTCAATCAATTCGTTTCGAATGACGTTTCCTAATGAAGAGATGACCGACTGATCAAAGTCAAATCGTCTTCTTTTGAGCCAAAGAATGTCGCAGTACCTTTTTGATCATATGCTTATGGGACACCTTGTATAATATTACATAAATATTTATAACAGTTTACTCACTTTAATGAATTCTGGCGTCAGATGTCCTTTTTTCATCGTATCGGTGGGTTTGGGGTTCAATTCTATCCCAATTGCCTTAGCAGTCAAAGGGACAGCTCTACAAGGAGCACTTTCTGGGGAGTAATAGTAGTCAATAGGCATTTTTACTGCAAAAAAATGTAGTTTGTGTCAAAAAGCGAAGTTAGTAACATAAAATAGAAAATGGAAATGCGGTCATTTGTACCTAGATGGCCAAATATAGGTCAATTTAAACTACAAACAAGATAATTTTAAAGAAAGATTATTTGTTTATTTGGTGATATCTACTTACTTTCAAATATATTCTGCTTGAACAACAGTTATTAAGAATTACTGTTTTATATTTAATTGTTTACATTTCAATAAATGCTATAGATTAATCTACCCTTCAAAACTAGTCACGCAGGCGAAAGGATTTAATGATTTAAGCTTTTGAGACGAGGTGTAAATTGAAATAGGAGTTAGGAAATGGCAATTTAAGCAAAACGTTTCCTATTAACATTAATAATAAAACGCTTAGTAAAAACGGTGGCAATAATTTGACAGAGGAACATGTGTTTTTTCTCATATGTACTGGATGAAAGTGGGAACTAACTCAGCCAAAAAAAATAACCGATCTGCATCGACCTGTGCTGCTTTTGCTATATTTGCACTAGCTACCTGCCGAATTTCAGTTAGTGGTAGGTTATCTTCAATCAGTTCAAATTGTTTATGATAAATTTGTTTGTTTTGTTACGACGTATTCGTCCCTTAACAGGCACGTTAGCTGTTTAACGCAATTTACACATTTATTCGGTTGTCCTTCACGTATAATTAGCGATCAAGGAAAATGTTTTACAAGTAGTGAGTTTCGTACATTTTGTTCTAAATTCAATATTGATCTACATTTTATAGCTCACGGTGCAAGCCGAACAAATGGACAAGTAGAAAGACTCATGCAAACATTGAAAAATGTTTTAATTACTATTGAAACTGAAGGTGATAAAACTTGGCAAGATAGTTTAGGTGAGGTTCAAATAGCTTTTAATAGTTCTAAAAGCAGAGTAACTGCGTTCAGCCCAGCTGAAATTTTATTTGGAAGTGCGCGAAAAAGCAGTGCGCAAAAACGACGAGATGAAACATTAGAGCGCCTAGACAAGCTCGAAAGACATTTGTTGGTAGCTTCGGCTCGTGTTCCTTCTTCTGGTTTTGCTTCAGTGGCAAAACTCAAGTTACCGCCTTTTGAACCATCCTCAAATTTTGCTGATCTAGAGGGCTGGTGTGCCATAGTGGATAACCGTGCACGTTATCCTGCTTTTTCTTAGAGTACATGATGGACTCCTCAGAGGAACTTCACCCACTAACTACCCCCTTGTCTCCGACATATATGTGAGCAGTTCACGGAATTTTACCAGCGTCGTCAGCGATCTGGACCCGTCTCGATGACAGATTAATATTATGGGAGTATTTATGGGACTATTTTGTAAACATAGGTTAAGCTTAGTGAATGTGGGACTCTCAGATAGGCATTAGCGTAGTACAGACGTATTATCACAGTACACAATATAAGTCAATTAAAGTTGTTCTAAGAAAAGAATCTGTGTTTTTTTTGTTAAAAAGTGTTAAATTCTTACATATATTTGTCGCATATGTGGCAATCTTAATAAAACTTGTTAAAAAAAATAAGAAAATTAGGATAAACACAAATGTTTTGATCTGTCAAATCATTTATGTTATTGATTTTAAAATTACCAAAGAGTCTGTGGACTTTGTTTTCAACATCTACGTTAAAAACAAGAACAGTCAATTTTATTTGAACTATTATTGGAATCACCACGCTAATACTATTTAAACAATTAGTAACAAATAATTACTCAAAATAAAATGATATATTTAAATAAATATAAAAGATAATTCAACATTTTTTTTATTTTTAATTTAATCGAAAACCGCTTCTTCTGATCATTCCACGGCTTTTAAGATCACGATCCAAAGCCTGCTATGATTTTCTTTATACCTCCGAATTTCAGTATAAACACTTAGCGACTTTTTTTATTTAAAATCTTATAAGGCGGTGTGAACCAGGACCCCTCAAAACCCCTAGAGGCGAAATTTGAACCAAAATTATATAGAGTACCTACTACTATTTGTAGATAATAATCGTAAGTACTCCTAGAATTTTTAGCACAATAAAGAACAGATTATTAAGGGATCATCTAATTATTTAAAAACAAAATTTAATATATTATAAGCTGTGTATTTGGATCAATTAATCTTTAAAAAAATTTTCTGAATACTTCTATATTATATTCCTTTTCTCGGTCCAAACGGATCAATATTTTCTTGTCTGCCGATTTTAAAACAACAGAATGGAATCTTGTCATATTTTTGCAACTTTCTATAATAAATAGTATACTATCTAAATGTAAGCATGATGCAGCAGACTTCTAAACGCAACCAAATTAAAATGTTGTATTAGTCATGTTATCGTCCTTGAATATGTAAATTATTTACACCAAATCTGTTTAGTCACGTCAGATTATCTCAAGTATGGTGATTTGTACAATGCTTTGGTGCAACTAATTTCATTTACATATATGTGTTGATTTTCATAACAGATATGAAAAAAAGAAACAACTCGTACTTGCATATATGTATTAAAAATTCCGATATTTCATTCATGATTGGTTTATTTATAGACTATCCTATACGTGTCTCAGATCGACTAATAAAATTACTTGACATTAGTATATCTCATTAAGCCAATTCAAATTAATTGTAACAATTTCTCTAAAAATTTTATTAACTGAAGTCAAACAATCAATACTCTTGGATACAAGGTACTCCCAAAAGATATTTAACCTGATAAACAATACATTATCTAGATGTTAGGTATGTAAGAATATTATTTGACTTATTATTTTTTAATACTGTGTTGAAAACTATTTAATAATAATTAGTAGATAAAGCAAGACTCCAGTTTATTCACAAAACAACTGTTAAGTAACAAATATCTATACTACTTAATGAAGTACTTATTCCATAGGTTTTCAGCAGTTTTAGTAATTTGCTTGATAAAAATATTGAGCCATGATAATTATGTATATGTTATTATCTTTTATATACTACTACAAAATTTCAGTCTCACAAATTATAGTTTTTTTAATTTTCAATTTTACGAAAATTTTAAATTTTGTACTAAAAGACTTATGAAGCTGGAATTGTATTTGTGAACAAAAAGTTCTCTCTATTCGAAATTACATTCGTACTACTCAAATTATTGCGTCAAAAAAATTATTAAAATTTAAGTTTAAAGTAAAAGTATAATTGGAAATGAGTCAGTAGTATAACACTATATTTTCAATATAATATTTCCATAGGTGAGACATCGATTTTCTTTTCAAGGGGGACACATGATGGCGTGAGTTTTAGTGCCTTGGAAGGTACCCCCTAAGCAGGGGTGTAAAATACCCTGAAAATGTAAATGATACCCTATGTTGAGTTTTCAATTCTGCTGACGACGACATACTTTCTAACTTTTGGTTTAGATTAGACAATATCACTTAAAGAATAAGACAAAACATCAATGAATGAAAGAATGTTATTTTATTAAATATTCAAATTGTTTTCCCTCCGCTGCCATACAATAATAAAATATTTGCTCTACTTCTGAACGAACATTTCGAAGACTTTCAGGCGTTATCTGACGACATTCATCAACAATTTTAACTTCAGGAATTTCTGTACCTAGTTTCTGCCAAATCTTAATAATTCATAAGTATCACCCATACAAAATTAATTTGGTACAAGCAAATTAATGAAGACGATCCTGATCGCAACTTGCAGTTCTGTAAAGAAATGAGTGATCATGCTCAAAGGAATCCAATTTCCTTGTACTCAATCTGTTTTAATCTGTTTTCCGATAAATGTACGATGCAACTGATCGACTCAACCGCCATAATTGTCGCTACTGGAGTGATGAAAATGCACGCATTTTTTATAAAATTTATACGCAGCATCCGAGGAAATTGAATATTTGGGTGAGTATACTAGGAGACTTAGACTTTAAATTCAACGAGAATAGAATACCATCATACATGATGTTCAATTTGAATATGTACATATTTTTGTATTATTGAGATAAATACGATGTTCTCTGTAATTTAATGGTATTTTGAGAATGAAGAAATATGTATGTAATGGATGAGGTTGTGTTAAAAAATTATAGGATCTAAATTTCTAAATGAAAGTCGCATACAATCCAAGCTTCTCAATAATTCAATTTTATTAAAAAAAAAAATCAAAAACTGTACCTTACCAAATGCTAACAATTGTTGTTATTTTATTGTATTAGAGATAAAACAAATTATTTATTGCATGTTTACTCATCGGCCTGCGCAAAATGACCCATTAACTGTTTAACGTATACCAAATTGTCTTCATTAGCTTCTTTGTAACCCGGAGCAATCGCTTTGACTTTTGCGTACCATCTATTAATATACTTATAGGGTGACATATCGTGTCCAAGTAGTTCTAAATTGGAAATTTGGACAACTAACGACAAGTCAGCCAACGTAAGACTGTCGCCTGCGACGTATTCGGATTTCACCAAAAATTCATCTAGGAAATCCAAAGCTTTGTTGGCATTAGCAAGTGCTTCTGGGTCGGGTGGTAAACCAGCGAAAGTTTTAGGAGTCTAAAAAATATAAACACGATTTACACAAAGATCCAGAGTGATTCAAAGTGACGTCAAGTTCACAGACACTATTGAAATTATTATTTTTGTCTAAAATTACTTTTCATTGTTAAAAATGTTGTCAGTGACAATAGTGGTGGGAAAATATTTAACCCGTATTAGTATGCATTTATATACATATCTGAATACTGAAACTAACCATTTCAATAAAAAATTATGTGTAGCGTAATAAAAAATACTACTAGCAACCAATCGGTTAGTGATGCCAACTATGACAATAAAAAATACTATGGTAAATACGGGAGAGTTGCCGCATATTTTGAAAAAAAATCATATTTTTCGTAATTATTAAACATTTTTCAGTAATAAACAGTTACATTACTCTTAAATTAAATATATAAAAATAAACATTCATTTTCAAATAAGAAAATAATAACAATCAATTTTATTTAACTGTATAAAACGGCGTCTCTTCTTTACTCTTTTCATGTATTTGGGTATAGGAAATATACCCGCTGCTTTAAAACCATTTTCAATGCTAGCTACTCTTATCCCAGCTTTACCTATTATTTCGCCAGCTTGATATCTGGTAAAATTTCGGTTAGTGTGATGTTTCATCCACAAATGAGCTTCCTGACTGAAATATACTTTTAGCGGCTGAAAAAAACTTTTGTCCACCGGTTGAAGTGCTTGTGTACAATGAATGTGCAAACACAACAAAATAATATTGTTATCATCAGCCACCTGAAGCATTTCAATATCTATCTGTGAGATGTATGACCATCCAGTATCAGCAAACACTTTCCAACTGGTTTATGTGGAATGAACTGTTCCTTCAACCATTGTAAAAATAGTTCTGAGTTGATAAATGAAGATTTTTTGTTCATAAGGTTTTTCTAATAAATCATGTTCAATCATAATTTTATCCAGCAAGTTAAAAAATTGTGCCACATCTTGTCTGTTCATGGAACGAGTTCTAGATAACAAAAAACTTTTGTCTAATGGAAATTTCGTGATTGATATCCAAAAACATTGCAGCCATGCAAAGCCAGCCATGTCGTTCACTCTAGAAAAAATTGTGCTTTATTTTCAGCTTTTCAGCAAATTTACAAGCGAGCTTTCTGACGGTACTTCTATCTGGAGCGAAGCCTGCTGCCGACAAACGTTGGATATGTGCAACTAATCTCTTCTCATTTGCTTTAACTAATACACCTGTAAAAATAGTAAAAAATATTGTAAATCATTGTAGTAGTAATATTAACAGCAATAAAATACCTTCAGGTCCAAGACTTCCTTTCTCCATTTTACCAGGTTTCATTCTTCTCACTAACTTTCGAGGTGGTACATTATAAGGCGTGTAAACCTCTCTTTTACTAATTTCACCAGCTTCTACTTTTTGTATAGCTTCTGTCCAAGTCGGCCTTGGTGTTGCATTTACGGATCTTTGATATTTCTGTGCTATAATACATAAGCAATGTATAGATGAGGCATCTGTCCCGATTTAAAATGCGGCAACTCTACTTTTTGTTGGGACAGAAGCCGCGTACCTTTGCAGTAAGACTTGGCACATAGATCTAACTTAACATAATGCAGAAAAGATAAGATAAGATAGAATAATTGTCTAATTTAATGACATGCGAAAAACTGACACATTACTTACCACTTCCTATAAATTAAACCATATAAAAATACTTATTTCCCGTTTAAAACGTACTATCAATGATAAAAAAGTCCAAAAAACTAACTAACGTTGGCACTAAATGCAGATATTACAATTTACTAGTGAAATAGGCACCAATATTTACCTCTTATACTACTAAGAGCGTCATCTGTTGACCAAGGGAAATGTTATAGATACTGGGATGTTTCACCTGACGCGACATCTCTCTCGGATTTACCCTAACTGAGTAGCACTTAAAATATTTCTAGAGAGGGGCACGTTCAATCATGTTAGATCTCTCCCCATAAAACTCAGGCAAATAACCAAAGGCGATTACGTCATCAAATTTTCAAGTGCTCATTCTTTGAGTGATTTCAGTGATTTTATGTCAAAAAGCATTATAAACAGATAATAGATTATGTTGTGTTGAAATTAGAAAACCCTTAACATCTTCTAAAATATCTCTGAATACGTTTTATCCATGATGATCTAACTTGAGCCTGATTATCTAGCTAAAGGTAAGTAGACACTGAATATGTATACCAGTGGTGGAAGACCGAAAACCGACTACTGCTTTTATTTCTAAGAAAAATATATGTTTCACTTTATCGTAAGGATCATTTCCGTTTTATTACTTTTTTACTGTTACCAAATACTTCACAGATTGTAAAATAACTCTAAAACTCCTCCTTTCTCAAAAAAGTTCATAGGATTTATTTGCTAGAAATGTAATATTTATACACATGTCTAAAATAGTAAGGTGTCGATATGTTACATGTTGTATCCAACCTAAAAGTGCAAAAAACACTGTTTTTCGTCATATTTGAGGTTATGTAGTAGTGCCATCTATTCTTTTTCAAAAAACTAATACATTGAATCTAAAAGTATAAGGCTTCTTCCTTCGAATGCCGTTGAGTTTGAAATTTTTAAGTTTCTCAGTTTCTTAATATTCTTAATCCCTTAGAAATCAAGCAGTCGATTGCAATTCAGAAACTTCATACCCATACGGTTTGTGGGTTTGGAGTTGGTGGGCCTGGGGTTTGTAAACTTGGAGTTTGTAGGTCCGGGTTTTGTGGGATTGGGGTTTATTGGTTTAGTGATTGTGGGCTTGGGGTTTGTGAGTTTGTGGATTTGGAGTTTGTGAGTTTGAGTTCGTATGTATTGAAGGTTTCTGAGTATGAAGTTTCTGAACTGCAATCAACTGTTTGACGTCTAAGGGATCCTTAGTAGATTTTCGCATATTAAGAAACTGATAAACTTAGAAATTTCAACATGTGATATCTCAACGAAAAAAAAAGATATTTGAGCAAACTCAACGGCATTCGAAAGGGGGAGCCTTGTACTTTTAAATTATATGTATTTTTCTTTGAAAAAGAATAGATGGCATTTCTACATAACCTCAAATATGAAGAAAAACAGTGTTTTTTGCACTTTTAGTTTAGGATATCTCAAAAACCTGACGTGATAGAGCAATTCTGCGGCCAGATTCGGATTCAGCGTACCAAAATCCTTCGAGAATGCATATTAGTGTGTCTGCTTCTTGACCCTTGTTGACCTGTGTTACTTTCTCGGAAAAAAAAATAACTTATATTATAAAGTGAGTAGTTCTAGAGCAACATTAAGTGTAATGAAGTGCTTGGTAACGTGGTAATTAATTAGGTTTTTCGAATAAAATGAAATGGTGTTGAATTTTTAGAATTTCAACTCATCATCCTATAAGGAATATCTTCATAGATATTTTAGAAAAGGCGTAGTATTTTCAAATTTTATTAAGGTTTGTCGTTGTTTGGTAATTAAGACCATCTCTCAGTTCAGAATCATGTTACAAAGACTAGAAAATATGAGAGTGCGCATAACCGCAGCCATGTTATAACATCAGTTGGAGATGCAGTGGAGTGTACACGTTAGTTTGTAGATATATGCACGTGATCCGCTTGTTCCTGTGACTGTGTAGTCTCCATGCCTGTGACATTCGGTTTCGTTAATTCGCCAACTAAATTCACTCTCCAGCTGACGTCATGCGCCAAGCGAACCAATTTTGGTTCAGCAATCACAGGAATATCATATCCTGTATTATTTGTATCATGGTTCAGAATACTTACATAAACTTCATGAAAACGTGCATATAAATCGGTGTCAAAAAACAGCCTCTGGTCAACAGTTGCTCGTTTTTTCGGATCCTTTGGGTACAGGTCATCGTTTTTTCCATACTGGTTTTGCAAATACGTTATAATAGCCTTGCTCTCCCAAATTACGAAACCACTGTCATTGAGTGTTGGTACACAATGTTGCGGGTTTAGCTTAAAAGTAATTTAATTTTTATAAGAATTTAAAAATATAGAATCATTTCATACAGATTTTTTTGTCCAAATTTAGTAATTATAATAATTACTTACTTTAATAAATTCTGGGGTAAAACTTTCTGGATTCATGATATCTACAGGTATCAAGTTTAATTCTACATCAAGAGACTTAGCTGCTAAAAGGACTATCCTACAGGAGGATCCACTTGGACTGTAGTAGAGGTCAATCGTCATTTTTCCTAAGAAGAAAGTGATACCAATAAAATAATTCATTTACAATGGAGTGTTCTAGTTATTACCATAAAAAAATAAATAATGTGTCAAAAAACTTGACTTGTATTTCTTTAATTTTGCAAGCAATTATTATTTAACTAGTAATTTAAAAAAATGTGAAAGTAAAGCGAATTTGACGGACATATGCAGCGTGCCAGATGCCATTTATTAAGATGAAACTCAACTAAAATCTCATACCACTGTCCTCCTTTTATTTAGCAACACAGCAATCCTAAAGTAAAATGCAGAAATGGTTGTGATTTTCTCTATCCTGACTTGCGTGTTGGTCTTTGTCTAATTGTAAAGCTATATTAGAACAACGAGAATATAAAATATTTTTGCGAAACATTACATTACTTAATAATTTCAATATGTCTGCTACGTGTTCTCTGCTTACAAGATACTGTTGGTATAATTCAATGCAACGTGGGCCATGTAACCCATAAAGTAGTTGACTGCAATATCAGTTAATAATTTTGTCTATAAAGTTAGATATATTTTGTATACTTATATTTTTAGTATTAAAGAACATTGTTTGACTTCATTTGATAGGATTTTTATGAAATTTTTATAAATTTACACGAAAGCTGATATTAAAATACATATTTAAAAAAAATTATAGTCGTATTGGAGTTACTTGATCTTTTACCGCTAGGGATTATATACTTTGTAAACTGTAATTTGTACTCACTTTAAGTTGAATCTGTCTAGTAGGCAGCACGGTAACAAACGAATCTCTTTTAATTTTGCTATTATATCTTATCATTATGATTCATATCTGATGACTGATAATAACCGAAAATAATTTGTAAAGTTTATCAGAGGCAAAATATCTGTTTTCGTTTTATAAAACCATTGCGAGAAATAATGAATGTAGTTATAGATTTTTATCTATTTTAATGTTTCTGTTTACTTTGATTGTTGATCGTTGTTCACTTCTTCTGCTGAATTAAGAAGGTACTAAAAATTCCTACTGGAATAACACACATTCGTCTTGTGTGATACAGAATAGAGTTGAGTATGCAATTAATAAGGAAGGTAAGATATAAGCTACTAAGCATTCAGCCAATTTTCGGCTAATTATAGACAAAAATATAAATAATCACGCTGGCCACGCTCTTCTGTTATTGAGTAATTCAGGTATGTATTTATAAACTAGAAGTTTAGGGTTATATATACCTCACAGTAGAAATTATAGGGAGTGACTCAGACATAATATAAAAACACTATTACCATAAAGCGTATAAATATAAAATGATTTTTATAATGGTTTAATATTATTTGTCTTGTATTAAATGATGTGCCGCTCTCTATGCACATCGATAGGATCTATAATCGTCTATAGACTAAGTTACACTGAACGTCGATCTATATTCTATCTCTGTCTATTGCACTTAGTAGGGGATAGGGAAATGTTTTTTTAGTGGGTGTAGACGGATGTATGTAGTACTTGATTTAGCCATAGCATAAGCGTAGGCGAGGGGTTTAATTAAATATATATTATACTTATAAATTAAAAAAAATATAACCGGGACGTTTTAAAACGTAGCAATAATTAAAATGGACCAAGTTGTAGCAAACCTGTCTGTTGCTCATAAAAATAATAGATGTTATGTTTTGTCATCTTTTTTCCATATTTTCTACATCTTGTTGTTTTTAGAAAGATACGCCTATGGATTATCGATCTCCGCATGTTTCATCCCTCTCTCTATAATTTCGACCGCAAAGTATAGAAGTTTAGTCTATTTAAAAGGAATAATTGCACCACCTAAGTTATTCAGTCATGGAAAATATACCTACTGTTTCCTCTAAGTAAAAAACATCCTTATGGAAAATATGAAGAAATAGAAAAAGGAGATAGTTAAAACATTAGAAATTAGTTTTTACAGTAGAGGGTTTCATATTTAAAATATCAGATAAATATTACTCAAGAAAAGAAAAACGTTTGTTCATAATCATGCCCTAGGTACAACAAATTAGTAATTAGTAGAGTTCGGGACTCGGTCGGATGATCATAGCCGTCGCGTCGGCCTTTCGCTACAGCGTCACGTACGAAACCGGTAATAACGGCAGTTGTAGGCTCCACATTTGCTTTGTGTATACGTGTTTTAATATTCTAATAATGTCGAACGCGACAAGGGGTAAAAAACGACCTTTCGCTGATAAAGTACGCAAATTATATTTATTTTTATTTATATCTACCTTTTATTTATTTGTTTACGACGAACACGCCTATGACTAGTCGACGAAAACCCCGAACTCTACTAATTAGGTTCCACCAGAGATCGATTGAAAATAAAAAAACCTTTTACTAGGTTTGGCATAGAAATTTTAAAATAAAAAATACAAACAATAATATCAATATTGTGTAGGTATTGTGTATATATTTCAATAATTCTGACCCAGCCGCCCTGTCTTATGGTGCTCTGAATTACTTAAACTCTATAAGGACCAACAAAGTGTCAACGATACAATTGATTCCTTAAATTGGTCAAGGACACAAATGTAATTAACACCGTCCGTTACGCTTTAATGAAATGTGAAAAATGTAGGCACCGCAAAACCAAAGACAATCTATCAAAACTGGGTCATATTGAATATTGATTATAACATAGTAAATTAGCTGTACCACCCGCAGTACTGATATAAATATTTTATTTCCCACTACCAATTAATTTCCCAGTCCTCATGAAAGGATATGTATTTATGATGATCTGAATTCTCTGTGAATAAAAACAACAAAATTTGTTCCAATAACCAGCAGCCACTGTTTATAATAAGAAAGATTTCTATTTATTGCTAGTTCAAGCATTGATAATTAATTACAATTATTGTACTTAGTAAGAAATTATATCTATTTAATTAACAACATAACAGAATTTCGGAAGAATACAAGCACCTGTATATAAATGCTTGAACCGATATTTCACACAAATTAGAAAATTGGATACATAATTTACGAACTTTGGAACAACGCTAGCATATATTTTGAAGAAATAAATATTTCAATTAACCTTCAGATCTGTAGTAACAATGTATTTGACTAAAATTTTTTCTGCTCCGCGTTAACATGTTAAAGCAATAATGTGAAATATAACTATTACTGTTTGTATTGACGATACGGACAGTAAGACTGTTTCAATAACATAACTAATCGGGTCATTGATTTGATCTGGCATTGTCGTTGCCTAAAGGTTATTTCATTGAGATGTTCAAAATGAGAAATATATTACTTATCTTTGTTATTAACCACCCATTTTAAATACTTAATTAATTAGTTACTGTTAATCCTAACTTTAGTACACACTCAGGTAAATAATGAATGTTAGTTGTCTTTAACTGTGCTTATTTCAATGTAAAAACGATCATGTAATATTTCCTCATAGTTACGCAACAAGGTATATACAGGGTAGCCCATCGAAAACTTACCGCAAGGTATTACAGGGTAGTAAAGAACTTTTCGGCAAAATCCAAAAACAGGTCAAATTTGTTTCTGAGGGGGACAACTTTTGGCTCAAAAAGCATACCAAAATCTTCAACCCCCTAAGTGGGGGTGCTATCCCCTAAATTTTTTCAAATGGGAATGGGGG